AAACTTCAAATAGAATGCTTACGTATTGTAACTCAGTAAAAGAAAAATGTGTAAATAAAAATAAATGTTTCCCTCCAACACCAGAAAACTTGAAATTACCCCAGGGTGGCTGTCAATAAAAAACAAATAAAAGTAAAAGGTTTCCTCCCCGAGAAAACTTGAAATTTCCCCAAGGCGGTTGTTCTCTCCTGGTTGAGAACTCCTTTTATGGCTGGTACAAGGAACATTTTTATGGGCAAAAATTTTGTAATTCTAAAAAAAAAACAAAAAAAACCTTCAATAGAATGCCTAGGTTTTGTAATTCAAATAAAGAAAACTGTAAATAAAAACAAATAACATGTTTCCAAATCCAGAAAACATGAAATTACCCCAAGGTGGGTGCTACCTCTTGCTTGAAAACTCCTGTTTTGGATCGTACAAGTAATATATATATATATATATATATATGGATACAATTCTGTAAGTCTAAATAAAAACTTCAATAGAATGCCTACGTATTGTAACTCAATAAAAGAAAATCTGTAAATAGAATAAATAAATTTAAAAGTTTTCCTCCCCCAGAAAACATGAAATTACCCGATGGTAGGTGTTTCCTACTGGTTGAGGAGTCCTTTTATGGGTGGTACAAGGAATATTTATGTGCACGATCTTCTGTAAACTTGTTTTAAAAAACACATACATATATTTTATTGCGCAGTTCTTCATAATAAACAGGAATTATAAACGTAAAAGAATCCATATTGAATGTTACTTTGAATGATATTTTGAACGAAAACTACAAAAATAACCAAATACATTAAAGCCTTCCCATGTGTACTATTATAATGATAATGTCAATGATAATTTCCTTATAAGGAAACATTCTACATTCATTGAGGTAACAGCTGGTGCTACTATTGGTTGAAAATTATAAAATCGTTACCTTAAAACAATTTCCATGAAAATAGGTTTTCCAAGTCCAGTAACAGTTATTGCCCTTTCCAGTATTTATGGGAGTTTCTTTTCTAACCTTCTATTTGAAGTTGTGTGGAATATCAACATCTTCATTATCTGTCTATATATTTCACATGAGGTATTATATACATTATTCGGACAATTGCCTTCATCTTTGTCGCCATATTTATTACAAGGTTTTGGCCGTTGTACGCTCCGGCCTTCTTCAGGTGGTTGGAATGTCGAACTGAATCCTTTATTTCGCTCACTGGGGTAGACTGTTCTAGTTCCACGTGCCATGTTTAATGGATGTCAGTTATCAGTTATCTCCTGTTAATTTCCATCTGAAAGTTCTCCACTGCCTTAGCCGGGTATTGAACTCACACTCTTTGGGTCCTGTTACTGGATCTGACTAACGCCTTTATTCACTGTGCCATGTGTCCTTCGGGTTAATGCAGTGGAGAACTTGTTGGGGGAAGTAACAGGAGATAACTGATAGCTGACATCCATTAAAAACATGGCACTTGGAACTAGAACAGTCTATCCCAGTGAACGAAATAAATGGTTCAGTTCGACATTCCAACCACCTGAAGGGGTCTGGAACGTACAAAGACAAAGATGAGGACAATAATCCGAATAATGTAAATAGTGTACAAAACACCTCATCTCAGAAATATGGACAGATACTGAAAGGCCGGAACGTTGTAATAAATATGGCGACAAAGATGAGGACAATAGTTCGAATAGTGTAAATAGTGTACATAATACCTCTCATCTCAGAAATATAGACAGATACCGAAGGGCCGGAACGCTGTAATAAATATGACGACAAAGATGAGGACAATAGTCCGAATAATGTAAATAGTGTACATAATACCTCATCTCAGAAATATAGACAGATACTGAACGGCCGAAACGTTGTAATAAATATGGCGACAAAGATGAGGACAATAGTCCGAATAATGTAAATAGTGTACATAATACCTCATCTCAGAAATATAGACAGATATTGAACGGCCGAAACGTTGTAATAAATATGGCGACAAAGATGAGGACAATAGTCAGAATAATGTAAATAGTGTACATAATACCTCATCTCAGAAATATAGACAGATATTGAACGGCCGAAACGTTGTAATAAATATGGCGACAAAGATGAGGACAATCATCCGAATAATGTAAATAATCTTGATTATGTCATTATTTTCTCGAGTTACATGTGATATCCATTTTAGTTGTTGCTGTTGTTGAAAATCCTCAGGCGGTGAGTTTTCTGTTATTGTACAGTTCTTTGCTTGGAACTTTGTAGCATCAATGCTTGATGAATAATAGCCTTCAACAAGACCTACAGGTCTCACCTGTTCAAAGACATTTTTAACCATTCATCTGGGATAGTGGTTGAGTACAGCTGAGAGTTTTGTTATTTCTGAATGGGTGTGGAGCCATAAATTCCATTCATATGAAAATCTGATCTAACCCGGCTATTTTGTAGCAATTTACGGCGTTGCGAGAAACTAGTTCTAGCTTAGCGTATTCTATGTTCAGTTTGTTTTAAGTGATCCATAAACTGAGATATTTGAAATTTTAAAATGCCCTATCCATCACACTCGATAAAAAAAATATCAGTTAGTTTGAATTTAAGAAATGCTTTTTGTGTTACTTAATGGTAGATATACGTAATTTAGGACATGTGCTCCAATAAGTAATACATAATTAGACATAAATCAGGTTTAATATCGGTATATATTTCTGAGATGATGTAATGTTATTATTTACATTATTTACACTGTTCGGACTGTTGTCCACATTAAAGATTCTCGTATTCACGACGTTTTGGTCATTGTACGCTTCCAACCTTCTTCAGGTGATTAGAATTTCAAACTGAACACTTTGTTTCGTCCACCGGCGGAGATTGATCTAGTTCCACGTGCTATGCCTCTTCCGTAGGTTTCAATTATATGCCTTTAACTCAACTCTCCATGTTTTTGTTCAGTACTGGAGTAGCCAGGTATTGAACTCACAAATCTTAGGCTCAAATCAATGGAATCAACCAACGATTTCATCCACTGGGCCATGTGTCTTTGGATAAAAGCGTTGGTTATATCCAGCGATTTGACCCAAAGATTTGAGAGTTCAGTAACTGGGTATTCTTGTAGTAAAGAAAAAAAAAGAGTTGAGTTAAAGGGAGATAACTGAGACATACGGAAAAAGGCATTACACGTGGAACTAGAACATTTCTACCCCGGTGGACACAATAAAGGTTTCAGTTTAAAATTCTATTCCCTGGACGAAGTCAGGGTCGTACAACTGCCCGAAACATCATTAATTAATAAAGATAAGAACTGGATAATGCAAATAATGGAAATAAATCACGTTTATTATTTTATATGTGTCGTGTCCCTTTAAGACGTAGGCGATCATGGCTCTCCACGTTTTCTATCCCTTGTGGCTCTCAATAATTTTCGTGCCTCTGCCAACTTTCCCAGACCACGTTCTGCCATCCATTGCTGAAATCTGCCACGTATGTCATGCTTTATTTTACATTGTCTGTTTTTCCTTCTATTCGACCTGTGAGTATCAAATTGTCCAGGTCCTCCTTTCTCCTTACGGGTCCCAGAAATTACATCTGCATCTTCCTGATGTTAGGTATAAGTTTCCTCCTTGTCCCTCTCCAAGACTTCATCGTTGCTCCTTCCATGATATCTTTAGCATCCTTCCGTAGAACCATATCTCCGCTGCCTCGAGGCTCTACCTAATCTTTGAGGAGACCGTCTAACATTCGCTGTCGTATAGGAGGATGGAAGTCACGTAGAAGCACAGAACTCTTTTCTTTTTCTCCTAAGAAATCCACCTGTCTCACAGTACTCAGCTCAGATTTTGGAATGTGTCCTTGGCCATCACAATACCTCTACGAATCTTAGTGTAGCACTTATCGTCCTCTATCAAGACGCTTCTTAGATAGTTAAAATTCCGCGTCTGCTTGATTGCATTTCGTGTTCTTCCTCTTACTGATGACCATGCATTCTGTCTTCTTGTAGTTTATAGTTAGTCCTTTCTTCTCACTCTCCGTCGCTACCTTCTGTAGATTTTCTAATTTCTTTTCCATGTCTGCTATCACTACTGTGTCATCTGCGTATCTTATGTTGTTAAGGTTGTGATCGCCAAAGCTAAATCCCGGTAGGGTTTCTAATTCTCTCAGAATTACCTCGCTGTATAGGTTGAACTGGTCAGGGGAGAGAGAAGTCGCATCCTTGCCTTACGCCCCTTTCTGTTTTCGTATATTCACTGAACTCGTCCCCTACGAATATGCACGGTGTTTGCTGCTAGTATAGGTTCTTGATTATTCTGATATTCCACTCGAATATATCAAGGTTGCTGAGCAGTTCCATCAGATCCTTGAGACGTACTTTCACAAAGGTCAATGCGTAGTCTATGAAACATAGATACACGTCCTTCTGCATCTGTATAGCTCTTTCTGATAAGATTCTGTGCATTCCTTGTTCCGATGTCTTTAACGAACCCGCACTGTTCTTGTCCTATCTCTGTCCTGATTCTGCTTAGCACTCTATTCAACAGAATACGCATGGTAAGTTTTGTTACCTGGCTCATAACAAGAAAGCACTAAGCAAACATTTTGAAAATATCGCTTGCATTTTACAATTACTAACAATGGGAAGTTTTGCCTAAAATATCTCAGTGTCAATCTACCAGTGTGATCACTTCGATCTTCAGCTGGGACCGTATTTTTTTTACTAATATCGTTTTGATAATATCAGTTTTAAACAAATATTTGCAACATATAATTTGTTGTAGCGTAACTGTGCGAGATTTTTATACACTCACGTGTGAACAATTTTGCTCCCACAGGAATGTCCTATATATGCACACGTAAACTTTCATTTAGTCTTACTCATATGCGTCCAGACAGTAACACACACGCCTTTTCAAGAAGACATTAAGAAACAAAAGAAGACGAACAAAGAGTGAAATGATGATAACTTTAGTCTTGGAAAACGCGGAATTTCTTTTTAAATTTCTTCAGAGAGAAAGCGTTTATAGCCAACGCGATGACATTTAATGGCGACAGAGTCAAAAGTCTGTTCTAATTCTTGCTTTTTATACTTGCTTTTTTATCAATCTCTTTAAAAAAAAAAAAATCCTGGTTTTATCTTTCTGACAATTATCCGGAGTTTGGAATTTCTTTTCTCTTTTTGTTAGTCTCTGGTTTTCGCAGCTAACGTTAGTATTTTGTTCTTTCTTTTTCTTGCAATATCGCATCTTGAAATTATCAATTATTTTTGTTTTGTTTATTTTTCTTTTACAAGTCATTCGTTTAGTTTATTTCATTTTTATCAATTTTGTTTTCTATTCTTCCGTTAATTTAATTCTTTTTTTTCTTCTTTTATTCCTTTGTTTACTCCTTTCTTTTATTTCTTCCTTTCGTTTATTCTTCCTTTCTTTTATTGTTTTTTATTCTTTTATTCTTCCTTTCTTATGTCTCTTCCTTTATTTTATACTTTCTTTCTTTCTTTTCTTTTCTTCTTTTATATTTCCTTTGTTTTATTTCTTCTTTTCATTTATTATTTGTTTTATTTCTTCGTTTTTTTATCATTTTTTTTATTTAGTCCTTTCTTTTATTCTTCATTTCTTTTACACTTACTTTCTTTCTTTCTTTCTTTTATTCTTTTATATTTATTTTGTTTTATTTCTTTTCTTCTTTCTTTTCTTTCTATCTTTTATTCTTCCTTTCTTTTCTTCTTCCTTTCTTTCTTTGATTCTTTTATATCTATCTTGCTTTATTTCTTACTTTTCTTCTTCCTTTCTTTTCTTCTTTTCTTCCTTTCTTTTCTTCTTTTCTTCCTTTCTTTTCTTCTTCCTTTCTTCCTTTCTTTTCTTCTTCCTCCCTTCCTTTCTTTTCTTCTTTTCTTCCTTTCTTTTCTTCTTCCTCCCTTCCTTTCTTTTCTTCTTCCTCCCTTCCTTTCTTTTCTTCCTTTCTTTTCTTCTTCCTCCCTTCCTTTCTTTTCTTCCTTTCTTTTCTTCTTCCTCCCTTCCTTTCTTTTATTCTTCCTTTCTTTTGTTTCTTCCTTTATTTTATACTGCCTTTCTTTCTTACTTTTAATCTGCCGTTATTTTATTCTTTCTTTTTATTATTCCTTTCTTTTCTTTCTTTTATTCTTTTATATTTCCTTTGTTTTATTTCTTTCTTTCATTTTTTTCGTTATTTTATTCTTCCTTTCAATTATTTCTTTCTTTCTTTTTTTTTCCTTTCTTTCATTGTTTCTTTTATTTTATTCTTCCTTTCTTCCCTTTCTTTCTTTTATTCTTTTGCATTTCCTTTATTTTATTTCTTTCTTTCGCTTATTAATTTCTTTTAATTCTTCCTTTTATTACTTATTTTTTATTTCTTCCTTTCTTTTCTTCTTCCTTTTTTCCTTCCTTTCTTTGATTCTTCTTTTTTTCTTCTTCTTTTCTTTTACTCTTCCTTTCTTTTATTCTTCCTTTCTTCCTTTCTTTTATTCTTCCTTTCGTTTATTCTTCCATTCTTTCTTTCTTTCTTTTATTCTTTTTTATTTCTTTTTCTTTATTCCTTACTTTTCTTCTTCCGTTATTTTATTCATCCTTACTTGCATTTATTTCTTTTATTTCTTCTTTTCTTTCATTCTTTTATTCTCCTTTCTTTCTATTCTTTCTTATATTTTTACTTTTTTATTCTTTCTTTTTTATTTTTCTTTCATTTTCTTTACCGTTTTTTTATTCTTTCTTTCTTTTAATCTTTCATTTTTTCCCTACTCTTACTCTTTCTTTTACTGTAACTTTTTTTTGTCTTCATTTATTATTTATTTCTTTTATTTTTCCTTGTTATCCTTCATTTCTTTTATTTTTCTTTCTTTTAGTTTTCTTCTTTCTTTTGTTTTCCTTTCTCTTTTTTCTATCCTTCCCTTTATTCTTCAGCCTCTTTCTCTTACCATTTCTTCTTTCTCTTTCTTTCTTTCTTTCTTTCTTTCTTTCTTTCTTTTTTCTCCTTCCTATCATTTTTCTTTGTTCTTTATTTTCACCATTCCTTCTTTTTTTATTTTAAACTCAGCTGTTTTTTTCCAGTTTTTTGACTTTTGCTTTTAAGAATTACATTATTATTCTCAAGTTGCGTGGCACCTTATATTTGACCGAAATCTTGTTGCATCTCAAAAGGCAAAAATTTATAATAATAATAATATAATAATTTCGATTTAAGAAAGGAAAAAAAGAAAAAAACACAGTGATAAACAATGTTAAACTATATTTCAACAGAATGTCTCTCTTCTTCAAGTTATATTTTTAAAAAAATCAAGTATAAAAATATATAAAGCATCTTAATTTGCACATTCTGAAAAAAATATTCAGAATCTACTGAACTGTCGCCCCTTTAAACGCATGAGGATTGTTACGTATGCAAATTACTGACTTCCCACACCGGCTGAATTAAGAAAAAGACAGGAGAGTTCCATTATACAAAACTGTTGGATTGATTCCTCATAGTAACCAATAACCTAACGGAAAGAAGATGAACAAGATCACCATCATATTACGCATATTTCACTTGCATGCCTTGTTACTGGAGGAGTTTCATTCGGTTTGCGGCATTCATTACTAGGACAACGGTATTTTTTTTCATTACAAGAACGACACAATTATTATATTTAATCAGTATTAAATCGCAGACAGGTAAAGTTTATACAAAGACTTATAGTTTTCCGTAGATTTATATATTTTTATATTTGAATTTTTTAAATGTAACTTGAAGAAGACAGATTTCAGCAAAAGGTGGGTAACTATATCGAGCCTGGTTCTAATGAATGTGGTTAGCCTTGTTCTCCTTTTTTAAGTACCTCTAAGTTACAACGTAGCGGTTTCCTGTGGAGGCTTCCCCTGCTTAAGGCTCTTTTTATATATCTAGTTAATGTGAGTAAGTGTCGTTCCCGGCCTGTGTCCGTTTTCTCACTATGATCCAAGTTGAGATTCCCAACCTCCCCAGTTTCTTTTGGCCTGCGCTTTTCATCTCGACTGTCTTAGTTTTTTGAATTTGCTATTTCCCATAATTTTTTATCCTTCCGCTCCCCTTAGGGAGAGGGGTAGTTCTTTCGATTTTGTCGGAAGACAGAATACAGCGGTAAGGGTTATTTTTTAAGAGTAGACGTGTCTTCTCCCGTTTTCAGTTTATATTCGAGGCAATCACCTCCCCACAATCATTTCATAAAAATGCTAAGATTTTTAGACAATTGTACGTATTGAAATTTTAAGTCATGGTGTGTTTTTCAGTAAGGACCCTGTGTGTGTGAGGTATTTTGGTGTATGTAAGAGCGAATGGTGACGGATAGATTCTCATGGTGAATGAGTAAAATGTAATGAATGAATGAGTCGTGAATCTGAGTAGATTGGTACAAGCCTGCATCTATCTCCCCTTTTTTCGGACATATACTACAGTTACTGTTTTTAATCAGTATTAGATAATAGACAGGCAATGGTTGTATAATTTTTTGTAGATGTATATATTTTATACTTGAATTTAAGAAAAATACTAACTTAAAGGAGACAGACTTTCACTTGAAATATTGTTTAACATTTCAAACACTGTGTTATTTCTTTTTCTTTTCTTGAGTCCTACTATCCCTTTGATTACTACTACTACTACTAATAATAATAATGATTATTATTAGTAGTAGTAGTATTATTATCCAAACTAGAAAGCAGCTGACCCTGATAGGATACAGGATCTTAAGCCGAAGAGATGTCCTGGTTTACACAGCACATCAGCAGGGTACCTGTAGGATTATGTATGTGGTGACTCATTTCCAAATTTGATAGTGACCGGTAGAACGATACTTAAAATGAAGGACAAAAAGTAAAGGCAATATGGCTGCCGATTATCAGTCAAATGAAGGCCTTAATTTACTTTGGAAAGGGATGAAAAGAATCTTCGTATCTGTTCCTCCACGAAGATAACCTGATTCCTTGTGAACAGAATTTTTTTACGAAATGTCTCACAAGTTACTATAGATATTCTGCTGATTGACCAAACGGTCATAAGGCATTCACAGACATGACACCAATCTATACCTGGTTTGGATTACTTACACGCAATAACCCCGAGGAAAGATTTTAAAATCCACCTCTTCTCACCCAACTATGGATTAATTATGAACTCGGTAGATATTTAGTATAGCAGAACATATAACTACTACTACTACTACTACTACTGCTGCTACTGCTGCTACTACTGCTGCTGCTACTGCTGCTAATACTACTACTAATAATTATTATTATTGTTGTTGTTGTTATCCAAACAGGAAAAAAAGCTGGCTCTGGTAGGATACAGGATCTTAAGCCGAAGAGATGTCCTGTTTTACGCGGTTCAGTAGCAGGATACCTGTATGATTATGTATGTGGTGACTCTTTTCCAAAATTGACGGTGACCGGTAGAACGATACTTAAAATGAAGGACAAAATTAAAGGCAATATAGCTGCCGATTATCAGTCAAATGAAGGCCTTAATTTACTTTAGAAAGGGCTGAAAAGAATCTTCTAAGAGGTGGCATATCTGTTCCTCCACGAAGATGACCTGCTCCCTTGTGAACAGAAAGTTTGACGAAAGGACTCACAAGTTACTACGGATTTCTTGCTAATATCAGTCATGACTCCACCTGCTGGCAGCATTGTGAACATCTTACAGGTCTTCCAACCAAATTCGACAATTTCGAGCTATGTCAATTTTAATATTTCAGCACTTTATCTAAATATAGATATTGCCCATATGTTGATTACTGCCATCAGGATTCCTTTTTCGGATGCTAGTTCAAAGACACATCCAAGCACATTCTTTTTCTCTTCATAGACATCCCGAATTGCATCCTAAAGAATTATTACAATCTTGCGTTGTCTTCGTCAGGGAATTACTGATTCTCTAATATTAGCAAGAAGCTGAATTAAAACTGATTCCTTTTTTCCAAGCTGCTAACCCATTTTCCCCTCCCTAAATATGTCGGTTGGTGGTTTTTGTTTGTACTTTATTTTTGGTGAGGAAGATATGGGTTCATGCCTTTCTCAGGCGCATTTGCGCGTAAATGAATATAACGACTGGAATTGGAACTCGGAGCTTACATAAGCCGTCATCGGAGATTAAAGGTGGTAATTTTGCAACAATGATTGTTTGTTTACATGGAAGCTGATGGATTAATGTAAGCCAAAAGCTTAAAAAGGATTAAGAATAAAACATATATCAATATGGTGATTTTCATTCGTCCTGCAATGATAATGTTATTAAGCTTATCAGACGATATAAAAGGATTTTGCTTAAAATAGACAAAACTAGTCTATATTATGTAATGAACCAGGTATTTATGAAAAATGCTGTCTAAATACACAATTTATATATATATATATATATATATATATATATATATATATATATATATATATATATATATATATATATATATATATATAGTTTCTTTCACAATCGCAAATAGCGTGAAATCTAGGGTCACAAATTCACATCAATCCAAATAATAATAATAATATATATATATATATATATATATATATATATATATATATATATATATATATATATGTATGTATTATACATAAAATAATCCCAAATTACTTAATGTGGGTATAGTCTATTTTAGTGCAGCACTGCTATATGTCAGTCAGTTTAGGGATGAAGAATAAATGCATTGAGCCCACTGTATGGATCAGTTTTAATATCTAATATTACTAAGATCCACCTGGCTTATATACCAACGCATCGATTACCTCTCTCTCTCTCTCTCTCGCTCTCTCTCTCTCCCTCCACGGTGGAGTAATGGATAGCGGCTTGGATTGAGGAATCGCAGAGCCGAGTTCGAATTCCAGTCGAATCCATTACATTCACTTACGTGCTAATACCCTTGGAAAAGGTATGAATCCTCTTCCTCTCCCTCCAGCTATGGGTAAAATAGCAGGACAGACTGGGTTCTATAGGCTTGGATGGCAACTGGTCTAGGTGAAGGACAACTCTGAATTCAAAACCTGCGGAGGGTCGTTTGGGAACCTTGTGGCATTCGGTGCACCAGGTCTCTGTATTCGTCCCTTCAAAAAGTGTGGATGGTCCTGCACGGAGACTTCACCACTATAATCAAATCTCATGTGCCGGTGTCGGGCTGTCGGTTCCCTGGAAACTGATCTGTTTGACCCTCATACGTCGAATCTCGACGGGAGAGTCGATTATATATATATATATATATATATATATATATATATATATATATATATATATACACTCTTATATATATCAGTTTGGAGTTTTTCTACATAATGCCCAGAGTTTCCCAGGCATCTTCATTAGTTTATATGGATTAGTCTTCTGTAATAGTAAAGTTTCTAAGGATATTTTTAGAGTTACTGTTATTGTTAATACATGAATTAGCCCGAAAAAATAACACTTGTCTTCTTCAGTGGTTGAATATTTGTATGAAATTAATGAGCCTGCGATTTCAATTTAAATGCAGTTTTATCATAAAATAGATATTGATTATCTAAATGTTAATGAGTCTCTACCGTAGCGGTTGCCCTGATTCCAAGTCGATCCATTAATTGATGCAATAATGTGATCAAAATGGTCGCCACACAGACATATCGATTAACAATGCCTTTAATGGAGTCTCTGGAAATAAACGTCTTTTTCCTTCTTTTTTTTATTTATATTTTTTATTAATTGTTCTCGTCTTTTTCGTTCGTTAATGTTACATTTTTCATTTTGTCGTTGGTTAATTTTTCCTTTTTTATCTTTTTATATCATTCATTTATGCCTGTCCATTTTTTTTGTTCTTTCTTTACAACAGTCCCCACTTTCTTTTTTATCACTGAAAGTTGTTTTTCGCCATTTCTCCTTATTGCCTATTTCTTTGAGTTTTTTCTTCTTCTTCGCTTCTTTTTCTTTCGCTAATTCTACTTTTTCTCATTTTGTCATTAGTTAGTTTTCCTTTATTTTATCTCTTTAAATTATTAATTTTGTGTCCATATTTTTCTTTTGTCTTAATAGCGATTCATTCTTTCTTTGTTTCTTTTGTTTCTTTCATTCTTTCTTTCTTTCATTCTTTCTTTCTTTCATTCTTTCATTCTTTCTTTCTTTCATTCTTTCTTTCTTTTATTTTTTTCATTCATTCTTTCTTTCTTTCTTTCTTTCATTCTTTCTTTCTTTCATTCTTTCTGTATTTCATTCTTTCTTTCTTTCTTTCTTTCATTCTTTCTGTATTTCATTCTTTCTGTATTTCATTCTTTCTTTCTTCATTCTTTCTGTTTCATTCTTTCTGTTCTTTCATTCTATCTTTCATTCTTTCATTCTATTTCTTTCTTTCATTCTTTCTTTTCTTTCTTTTCATTCTATCTTTCTTTCTTTTCATTTTTTTCTTTCTTTCTTTCTTTCTTTCATTTCTTTTGTTTTTCTTTCTTTCTTTCTTTCTTTCTTTCATTCTTTCATTCTTTCATTATTTCTTTCTTTCTTTCTTTCATTCTTTTCTTTCATTCTTTCTTTCTTTCATTCTTTTTTCTTTCATTCTTTTTTCATTTTCTTTCTTTCTTTCTTTCATTCTTTCTTTCTTTCATTCTTTCTTTCATTCTTTCTGTCTTTCTTTCTTTCATTCTTTCTTTCTTTCTTTCATTCTTTCTTTCTTTCTTTTATTTTTTTCATTCTTTCTTTCTTTCTTTCTTTCATTCTTTCTGTATTCCATTCTTTCTGTATTTCATTCTTTCTGTATTTCATTCTTTCTTTCATTCTTTCATTCTATCTGTCTTTCTTTCATTCTTTCTTTCATTCTTTCTTTCTTTCTTTCTTTCATTTTTCTTTCTTTCTTTCTTTCTTTCTTTCTTTCTTTCTGTATTCCTTTCTTTCTTTCATTCTTTCTTTCTTTCTTTCATTCATTCTGTATTTCATTCTTTCTTTCTTTCATTCTTTCTTTCTTTCATTCTTTCTTTCTTTCATTCTTTCTTCACTGTAAGCCGATTTGTAGTTTTTTCTTCAATTCTTAATGATTTCGCCTTCTTTTTTTCATGTCTTTATTTATTTCTCCATATTTTATTCTTCCCAAGATTATTCATTTTTTTTATTCATTTTCCTTATGTTTATTTTCGTTCTCGTTTACTTAAAAAATCATTTCGTTTCTCTCTTTGAAAGTCCTCTTCAAATTTTCCCTCCATTTTCCCTTCTGACATTTGCAACTCTTTCCATTTTTATTTTATATTTTTTTTCATTTTTCTCCTTCAGTTTTTTTTTCTTCTTTCCTTTGCTTTCATCCTTTCATCATCTTTTCTCTTTCGTTTTCATTTTATTTTCTCTTTTCGTCTCTCTCTTGAGATTTATCTTTGTTTTTTTTTAAATATGTTTATTTGTTTCCTTTATTTTAATGTCCTTCCGTAATCAAATCCATTTCTCTTGTATATAAAAATTCTTAGTCATCAAAATCTAAATGTTTCGATTAGAATTATTAGTGAGCAGCAAAAATAATTTCAGTTTTTACAAACATTTACTCCAAAGCAAATCCCATTTAAGCGGGATATAGGCTCTTCAACTAGAAATATTCATTTCTTTTCACTTTTCTTTTCAAATTCTTACAGCTTAAGAAATTCGGATTGTGACTATGACTCCTGTTATTAAATGATATAAAATTTAATAGGCAGGATGCAGTTTTCTTTGTAAATTCATTCCCTCACGGAAGCCAAAACAAAAATGTTCATCAGGCGTATTTTCTTAAAGTGTTAAATAAATTTTAAAGAATAATTCTGATATTTGTACAATGAAAACTCACCCTTATTCCTTGTAGCTATATATTTAGAAATTATACATAAAACATTATTATTATTATTATTATTATTATTATTATTAATTTCTTAGATTTCTGGCGTTTACACATTTCTATCCGGGTCCCGCCCAGGGACCTACGTTTAGAAATGGCATCATGATACTTTCCACTGACAAAAAATAATAAAAAAAAAAAAAAAAAAAAACACATTACATAGATAAAGCCCTTCGTAAAGTGTGGGCTGTACTTGTCAGAACAATTGTATCTCTTTGAGGCATGAACTTCCAGGAATCCCTTCAATTAGTCGACTGGAATTATTATTTTTATTATTATTGTTATTATTATTATTTTCTTTGGTGTCTGGTGTATACGCATTTTCCGGGTCCCAACCAGAGACCTTAGGTCAGAAAGGGCACCGTGATATTTTCCACTGAATAGATCAGAAAAAAATATCGTAAGGTATGGGCTGTATTTGTGAATATTTTTTAGCATGAGCTACCAGGAATCCCTTCACTGAGTCTATTGGGATCTTTTCCAATTAATCCGAGGGCTCCAACTACAACTAGAATTGTTAATGTCCTCATGTGCTTCATTTGTGATGTTTCGATTTCAAGGTCCTTGTATTTTGACAGTTTTTAAAGGTCTTCCAAGATACATTGCAGTCAGCAGGGACTGCCATATCAATAAGGAAGCATATTCTGTCTTTCCTGTCTCTAATCACGATGTCAAGGGTATTAGATTTGATTATTCTCTCTGTGTGTATTGTAATGTTCCATTGTTACAGGTCCTATCACAGTAACCAGATCTGGGTGGTGTTCATACCAATTTCTTGCAGTTTCATTTCCATAAGTATAGCAAATTTTCCACTGCAGATATTGGGCCACTGTCATACCGTATTTTATATTCTGTGGGTGCCAATAATGCGCAAGCTGATACAAGATGCTGAATTGTTTCGAGATACTTAACATAGAATCTGCTAGAATTTGAACTGACACAATTTTTCAGTATGTGTGCTTTGTAATTTCTAGTTAGCAAGCATTGTTCCTTTGCAGCAAGAATAAAACCTTCAGTTTCAGCTTTTAATCCTGCATTACATAGCCACTGATGGGTACGGTGTTTCTCAACATCAGCTTGTTTGGTACGGGCACAGTATTCACCGTGAAGCCGTTTATCTTGCCATCGGTTCTATACCTGGTCGGTTGCATTTGCCTTTGCATTTTTTTACGTATTAAGCAGCTTCGGACGGTGTATCATGCTTTACTTGAATTTCTTCACCCACTTGAAACTCTATTTCAAACGTTTTGTCTTCTTTTCTTACTGAATAAAGTCGCTTACTACTTTCATGTTTTTTGATACAGCTCATCATACAGTCTTCTGTAGTTTCTAGGTATCTTTAAAGGGCAATTGTAGTATTATAAGAGAGTTCTAGTTGAACTAATCCTCTTCCTCCTGCGGATCTGGGCACATACAGACGATCAACATCAGCATTCGCATGATGCATGTGGTGGCAGGTGAGAAGCTTTCTCGTTTTTGCGTCCATTTGCTTAATGTCAGCTATGGTCCAGTTAAGAATGTTGAATCTGTATTGCATCATAGGGACAGACAAGCTTTTTATGGCTGATATTCTGTTTTTTGAATTCAACTCGATATTCAGTAACAGAGGTACACATCTGTAGTACTCCTTTTTTATCTTCTTCTTCATTTGGATATGTTGTATTCTAGTTACCAAAAGGCTTCTTCTTGTTCCAGTTCCCAATTCTTTGTGAAAAAAATCTAAATCTATTCAGTGTGATTCTATGAGTGTCCCTTTCTTGAATATTAACCTTGCAACATTTATCGAATCCAAAATCAATAGCTATGCTGTCACTGAAACATTGTAGAGTATTGTAGAGACCCTTGAGGAGACCCTTAAACTCATTATTGTTTCTGGCAAAGAGTTTGAGATTATCCATGTAGAGTTGGCGATTAAGTAATTTGTAACCATAGCTATTATTGTTTAGTTCATACGTAACTGGGATGATGGATGGAGGCATAACGTCGTCATCACTAGTGATCAATCCAAACGTCTCCGTAATCACCATTAGACTCATACAACTCTTTCCGAATTCTCTGCACTGTCTTCAGATTGATACCCAGACACTGTGAAGGGTTCACGTTGGAGCTTCCGGTGGGAATACGAAGCAGGATTTCATGGCGTTTTCAAATTCTGGCTGAGTGATTTGTGTCATGAGGATCTTTTTCATAGAGACGGTGTCCAACTGACCCTAGTAAACTGTGCAGTCGACAAAATAAAAATCAAAACCAAAAACAAACAGTGCGCATGTGCGAAATTAAACATATATAATGGTGACAATTTACCCATCGCACCCTGTAGATTCCGTATGATAGATTATTGTACATAATAAGGTTGTAATATTCATATGAATACTACCTTCTGAAAATTGAGATACAGTAGAGTGGGGGGACTCGAATTATAGATTCAGGGGGGTGACATGAGACATTTTCACCGGCTCTGTCTCCAGTTATATTTACCTTGTATTCTCAGTGTGGCCCCTTGTCTTGAACATCTATCTCACACCAGGCCTTAAATGGACCTATTATATATGTCCTATCATTAAGATGCTGGGAAAATAGGCGTTTTCTTGTAACACTGTTGGAATTGTCTGACTGCTCTTAGCATACACTTTAAAAGTGTCAGATCCTACAAAAAATAGAGCATTGCTACCATATCTCGGTTGGATTTGTCCAATACTTATTTTAAAGTCGTTAAAGAATTTGCAAGCTTTTTTTTTTTTTTCGTGTCCTTGTGGGTGATTAATTATTTTCCACCCTACGAACACTTTACCATAGACGAGAATTCGATACCCTCTGTATAGATCTATCGTTATTTAAATGACAAATGCCTATACGTGGTACATTCTTTTATACCGCCAGCCAATACCTTTGCATCCAGGACCCGCCAATGCGCTTACACTGAATCAACCTATTTTTGTTTCCTTCACTTATTTCAACAAGAAAAATAATATTAAGGAAAGCGCATACATACGAACATACACACACACACAGAAAGTAGAATGGCTAAAGGTAAGTTCGAAACCCAGAGAAAAAAACGAAACTCCTTAGTTCCACCGCTTCTGACCGTTGCAGCTAAAATTCTCCAAGACTCATACACAAGTTCAAATTACGCTTATTTTTTTTAAATATTCCATTAAAAGGAGGAAGTTCAAATGTCATATTCTTGGTGTAATATAAAAAAAAAAATATGCAGATGACACAGTGTTGATAACATACAGAAAAAGTAAGGCCGGAGATAGGAAATGCGATATCCATGCTCAGAATGTTATCAAAAGGAGCGATACAGATGCAGAAAGACATTTACCTATGTTCCATAGTGTTGTGGTAGGATCCACCTAATTTGCATAGTGGAGTACCGACCATATAAATATGGTTGGTACCGGGAAGAGAGGAGAGGAATCAAGAGATTCACTCTCAGTCGAACTCTCTGCATTTTGCAGTGAGGGACCCGGACGAGGCTTTGCCGAGAGGCAGGATTTCGTCCGGGGTGGTAGACAGGCCTTGAACCCGTCTAGGCTGGTTCAGAAAGGCCATATTTTTGGCCGAGCCTACGGGCTCGGAGATACCCACTTTAAACCGGCCTTGTGCCACATTTTATCCTCGTGGGTGGATAGATAAATACAGGAATCAAGAGATTCAATCCAGAGACTCTGCCCGACACATTCTCCGGGAACGGTCTTCCCAGGAATATACAAATGACTATGTGTAAATATTGTGTACTCTTTCTTGTTTCAATACATTTTGTTCTAAGTACATTTTGTGTTGCATTATTATTCCATGCATTAGTCAAGTTTCAACACATAGACTACGCAAAGGCCTTCGACAAAGTATGCCACAGGGATCTGATGGGACTGCTCAGCAACCTTGATATATTCGGGAGGGATATCAGAATAATCAAGAACCTATACTGGCAGCAAACAACATGCATAGGAATAGGGGACGAGTTTAGTGATTATACGAAAATAAAACGGCAGGTAATGCAAGGATGCGTCTTCTCATCCGACCTATTGAACTCATACAGCGAGACAATTCTGAGAGAATTGGAAACTCTACAGGATTTTAGCATTGGCAGCCACAACCTTAACACCATAAGATAGCAGACGACACAGTACTGATAGCAGACATGGAAGAGAAATTTCCTACAGAAGGTAGCGACTGAGAGTGCGAAGAAAGGACTAAGCATAAACTACAAGAGGACAAAATACATGCTTATCAGTAACAGGATGAGCCCGAAATACGATTTGCCAGGTCTGGAACGCTAGAATCAAGCCGACACAGAATTTATATATCTGGGAATCGTCTTGACAGAAGACAGTAAGTGCGACACTGAGATCCATAGACATATTGGGATGTCCAAGTACACATTCCAAATGCTGGGCAGAGTACTGCGAGAGAGGAGGATTTCTTTTCTAACAAAGAAAAGAACACTGAGCTGTTACGTGACATCTGTTCTTCTTTACGGCAGCGAATTTTGGACGATTTTCTCAAGGATGTGGAAGAGACTCGAAGCCATGGAGATGTGGTTCTACAGAAGGACGCTAAGGATATCATGGACCAATCGTGTGAGCAACTATGAGGTCTTATATAGGTTACAAACAAGGAGACGGCTTATAATTAACATCAGGAAGAGAGAGCTAAAGTTTCTGGGACAAAAAATGAGGAAGGAAGGCCTGGAGAATCTGATACTCACGGGTCAAATAAAAGGAAAGAGAGACAAGGGAAAGCAGCATGTGACATACCTGACGAGCTTGAGCAGGTGGATGACAGAACGTGGTCTGGGGGAGGAAGGAGAGGGAAGGTGATTGTTGAGAGCTGCGAGGGATAGAGAGAAGTGGACAGCCATGATCGCCTCCGTCCTGAAAGGACATGGTACATGAAAAAGAATATTTGGTCAATTAACCCTGAGAGCCCTCCGTTCCTAAACAGATTTAACCCTTCTACTCCTGACTCAACATTCGCAAGTAATTGGTATGTAATGTTTCCCGGTAGATATAAAAATATTTACAAGTGTTTACCCTCCGTTCAACCGGTGGCTGGGCATTACATCATTTTTCTCTACCACCGTTCAACCGGAGGCTTGGCATTACGTCATTTTTCTCTACCACCATTCAACCGGAGGCTTGGCATTACGTCATTTTTCTCTACCACCATTCAACCGGAGGCTTGGAATTACGTCATTTTTCTCTACTACTCTTCAACCGGTGGCTGGGCATTAAGTCATTTTTCTCTACCACTGTTCAACTGGTGGCTGGCTATTAAATAATTTTTCTCTACCACCGTTCAACCGGTGACTAGGCATTACGTCATTTTTCTCTACCACCGTTCAACCGGTGGCTGGGCATTAAGTCATTTTTCTCTACCACCGTTCAACCGGTGGCTGGGCATTAAGTCATTTTTCTCTACCACCGTTCAACCGGTGGCTGGGCATTAAGTCATTTTTCTCTACCACTGTTCAACTGGTGGCTGGCTATTAAAAACTTTTCTCTACCACCGTTCAACCGGTGACTAAGCATTACGTCATTTTTCTCTACCACCTTTCAACCGGTGGCTGGGCATTAAGTCATTTTTCTCTACTACCGTTCAACCGGTGGCTGGGCATTAAGTCATTTTTCTCTACAACCATTCAACCGGTGGCTTGGCATTACGTCATTTTTCTCTACCACCATTCAACCGGAGGCTTGGCATTACGTCATTTTTCTCTACTACCGTTCAACCGGTGGCTGGGCATTAAGTCATTTTTCTCTACAACCATTCAACCGGTGGCTTGGCATTACGTCATTTTTCTCTACCACCATTCAACCGGAGGCTTGGCATTACGTCATTTTTCTCTACCACCATTCAACCGGAGGCTTGGCATTACGTCATTTTTCTCTACCACCATTCAACCGGAGGCTTGGCATTACGTCATTTTTCTCTACCACCATTCAACCGGTGGCTTGGCATTACGTCATTTTTCTATACCACCGTTCAACCGGTGATTGGTCATTAAGTCATTTTTCTCAACCACCGTTCAACCGGTGGCTTGGCATTACGTAATTTTTCTCTACCACCGGTAAAGCGGCGGTCAGGGCTCAAAGCGTTAAAACAAGTAGATATTGACAAGTCACCCCATGTTTAAATTTACACGTTGGATAATTTCTGTTCATGGATAAATATTCGAATATATCGATCCCTCCT